ATATTGTCTCTATCCAAGAGAGGGATATCATGTTGGTTGAATCCCATGGGGTTCACTGCTAAGAGTAAAAACTTGGAATGTTTGAAGCAAGTAGCACAGCCATCAGCTTTCCTTCCTATGAGCATCTTATCTTCACAGTGATGACCCAGTGATTTCACACTTGGCCTGATTTCATTTCTATAATGATCTTCTTGAACTTCTTGTAGACAAAGTACATCTGCATCAAAGTGTTTCTTTCAGAATATTGGGAAACCTAAAACTCCAGTGTAATACTGGCTGTCAGCAATGTCTGTAAAAGTGTCAATTATCTTTCAATAAATCCTGTGAAAGTATATTATAGGACATCACTGAAAAGTCAAACTTGTTCTCATCCTCTTCACATTTGGGATCATCATTTTTGTCTCCCAGGATCTTGGCATTTTATTATGGTTACATACATAGTCCCAATTCCTTTTTATCATGCCTTGGTGTTTTCTTCACTTTAACGAAGGCTCATCTCCCTCTGAGCTCATGATGTAACTAGACAGATGAATCAAGGATGTCTGGTTCAGGTGGTCAGGTCTCCAGTTACAGTATGGAAACTGAGTTCTAGAGGCAAACAAACAAGGTGGCCTCCACTTCAGTGAGAAATGCCTGCTACTGAAGTATGGGTAGGGAGCTTCAGAATAGTGTCCAGGCCACCTCATACAACTAGAAATATGTCTGTTCCAGTAACACTGCTGCAGATTCTCCCACAGTGTAGTCCAGTCTCTGCCCAGACTCTTGGGGTGATGGGGAAACAGGGTATTGGCCTCTGTCCACCACACAGCGGCCGGGTGTAGCCCCTCCTTGCACATCGCCACACTTCCATCTTCCCCTCTGAGGCTGTCCAGTTTCCAGGGATGGAGCTGCCCCATAGGCTCTACAGCACACTCTCCAGCCTAAAGCTCCCCAGGGTCCCCACTGCTTAGAGTCCTGATTCCTGACTCGACTCTGATTCATTTAAGTGAAAAGTGAAATGGCAAATTCTTGTTTTTCTTTTTAAATACACTCCATTTTTTTTTGAGATAGGTTTTTACAGTCTCATAATTAAGGCTGGCCTAGAACTCACTAAGTAGTCCAGGCTGGCCTTGAATTTGTGGCAATCCTCCCTCAGCCTACTGAATCTTGGGATTACAGGAACGTATCACTATGCCTGGCCTACAGTCCATTTTTAAAAGCAGTTTTAGGTGTAGGGAATATTAAACAGAAAGTATGGAGAATTGGCAAAAAACTTCTCTACTCTCCAACTTCCCGTATTAATATATTGCATTGATGTTGGACTTTTTTTTTTATAATTGATAAACCAATACTGAAAATTATTATGACCTAAATGTTCATAGATATTAGAATTCACTCTTTGTGTTGTAGTTTTATGGGCTTTGGAAAATGTATAGTCATTTAGCCCCATTACAGTATCATAGTTTCACTTCCCTGAACATTCATGTGTTCCATCTATTTGTCCCTTCCCTGCTTCTGGAACTTTAACAATCACTGATTTTTTTTTTGTAGTGCTGGTGATCAAACTCCAGACATTATGCATGTTAGGCTATGGAGCTACATCTCCAACCCAATCACTTTTTACTGTCTCTATATAGTGTTGCCTTTTCTAGAATGTCATATAGTCGGAATCATAAGCTATGTATACTCCTCAAATTGGCCTCTTTCACTTAGCAATATGTGTTTAAGTTTCATCCAAATCTTGTGACTTGAAGGCTCATTTATTTTTTGTGTGTTGGGGATTGAACCCAGAGTCTCACCATGCTAAGCACATATTCTATTACTGAGACACACCCCTTCCTTGACCCCTGTGTGTGTGTGTATGTGTGTTTGTGTATGAGACTAGGGAATGAACCTGGGGCAATCTACCACTGAACTATGTCCCCAGGTCTTGTTATTCTGAGACAGAGTCTTGCTGATTTGCCTACACTGACCTCAGACTTCTCAAACTTGTGATCCTCCAAGCTCAGTCTCTCAAGTAGCTGGGTTTATATTCATACGCCACGACATCTGGATTCCTTCATTTATTTTAAATGTTAAACAGTATTACATTGGATGAGTGTACCACACTGTTTATACATTAGCCTACTGAAGGACATCTTTCTTGCTTCCATTTTGGCAACTGTGAATAAAGTGACTATAAACATTTGTGTGCAGAGTTTTGTGTATATAAATTTTCAACTCATTTGGGTAAATAACGAGGAGCTTAACTGCTGCACAGTATGGGTCTTTGTTTTGTATTGCTATAACAGGATACCTGAGACTGATCCTTTTATTTTTTTGGATGGAGGTTTCACTATTTTGCCCAGGTTGACTTTGAACTCATTACCCTCTAGAATCAGTTTCTCAAGCGGCTGGGACTAGAGGTACGTGCCACTACACCCAGCTGAGCTGGTAATTTATAGAGAAATTCATTTAGCTCACAGTTCTGGAGACCCAAGAGCATGGCACCAGCATTTGGTTGGCTTCTGGCTAACATGTTGCTCATATTTTGGCCAAGAAGCAGAAAAGTGGTGTTTGCAGAGAGAGAGAGAGAGAGAGAGAGAGAGAGAGAGAGAGAGAGAGAGAGCACCCATATGAAAGAGAGACATGGCAGGCTGACCTGCTTTAGAATAACCCAATTTCATAACTTATCCAGTCCAGAGACCTCACTCTCTCCTACAAGATGGCGTTAACTCCTTTCAAAGATGGTATCCTCATGACCTAAATACCCCTCCCTAGGTACTCTTCTCAGTACCATTACACTGAGGACCAAGCTTCCAGCTCATAAACCTTTAGGGGACAAACCATTTCCAAACCATAACTATGGTAAGATTATGGTTAGCTTTGGAAGAAACCGACAATCTGTTTTCCAATGTGGCAATTCCATTTTGTATTTCCCCTATAAACATTTGAATATGCACTCCTTTAATTGCCAATATTCCCTTGTTCAACAAACATTTATTTACATATTCTGTGCCAAACTTTCATAGGTACCAGGTATACTGAAGTAAGCCAAATAAGTATGACTATCCTTCTGGACTATACATTCTAGTTACAAAGAACAAATATGAACAAATTCCTAAGTAGCATACTACATGGAGAAAAGGCTGTATGGAGAAAAATAGAAGTGTATGTAAATTTGGCTAGCAGACAAAAAGTTATTGGAGATTGTAAGTTATTGGAGATTGTTTGAATTAAGTCATTTATGCCCAGCCCCAACAAAATGGAACTGGAAGACTATTATGAAGAGTTCTTAGTAACACATGTACATGAAGAAAATTTCAAGGACTTGCTGAAAACTGTAACCTTGCACGATTTTACCCAGTCACTACCTCTAGAAAACATCTCTCTAGCAAGTGTCTGTTCTATTCAATTGACACCACCCTCCTTCACCTTTCTGATCATTGTTTCAAAATGACTTATATAACTTTATTTAACTTAAAAAAAAAAACAACCCATACTTTCCTTTGCTCTCTTACGTAGGCTCATTACCTGTCATAGTGTCATGAGATGGGATCTGAGGAAGTCCCTCAAAGAGGGGATGGGGATTTCAACTCATTCCACCCACATGGTAGGTTATAGGTTTGCCTACTTGAGTCACAGAAAAAACACTGTAGGACATATTAGTGAGAGGCATACACAGGTTTTATCAGGCAGAGTTACAGAATTACAAACTCAGAGAAAATAACGGTGGTTGAGAGAGAAAGGAATACAGAGATGAAGGGGTGAGCATTATGATCTGGAACTGGGATTTTGTGGTCTTGTGGAGGGGGATGTCTTCAAGACTGGTGATCTAGGAGGTGTATTCCTACTTTGAGTTTACCTGTTTTAGTGAGGTAGGTTTCTTTTTGTTTGGTTGTTTTTGAGACAATGTCTCACTAGGTAGTTGAGGCTGCGGTTGAACTTGCAGTGTTCCTCCTACCTCAGCCTTCCACGCCTGGCCTGGGCTAGGTTTTAGTGCAAGCCATTTGCATGCTTTTGAAGTTCAGATATGCTACCAAACTTAACGGTGAATCTATAAGATGGGAGGAAAAGCATAGACTTAATTTACAGGTGAAAAGCCTGGGCCTGATTTACAGGTTTATTGTACCTTTAAGACCGGTAGGATTTTGAGGGGCTGTTGGAGAGGGGGGGATTTCCTGGATGGGAAAATGGCATTGAATCTTGGATAACTTTGTGTCCTGAAGCTGTAGTTTCCTTAAAGGTTCAACTTTAAAATTAAGATTTTCCTGTTCTCCTTCCTATCCATGTCAGTAGCATACACATATTAGATTTGCATAAATATGTATAAAATGGTATAAAAGAGAGCAATAGGTTTGGCCAGGAGAATAGGCAATAAACTTTGCATGGAAGTTATCAGGGTCCAAAATAACTTTAGAAGTCTTCTAAGTTAACAGTATTTATAGTACTGCTAGAGGTTTGGGGCTGAAGCCTATTTTTTAAACTTGTGACACAAAGGATTGGTCATGTGGTGCTATAATAGGTATAGCCCCTGGTCTAGCCGTGATCAGCAGGAAAACTCCTTAGGTTAATCACCTTTCTGGTAAGCAAACTGCGCGTCTGGCCTGAGGAGTTTTTAGGGGGCGGGGGTAGTAGGGATTGAAGCCAGGACCTCACGCAAAACGGGCCCGACGTTTCCGATTTACAGCTGCAAGACTGACAGGGACTCAGACTCCTTGGGACTCCTCCCCAAAACAAGGTGGGGAAGGACGTGCGGAAGGCGCACTCTGGTGGATAAAAGATGCTTGGAGGCCCACCCTGTTCTGGATATGGGCTCCAAAAATGTATAGAAATCTTACATATGCCCTTTTGAGCGACAGTCGCCCGTGCAAGTCACAGAGGGCGGACCAGGATTTTCAAAAGGCCCGCGCCCAAGTAGGATCAGCTGCACATCACACGTCAGAAGAGCGGCCAGGCGTTCACAGCGTCTACCAGAAGCGGCCGGAAGCGGGGCCGGCGGCGCCAATTGATGACGCAACGTGGGTCGCGCTCAGGTGACGCTCGGCGTAGACGACGCCAGGTTACCCCTGTCACCTCCCTCCCCTCCTCTCTGGGTTAGTGCTCAGCAGGAGTAGGCGCCATGGCGGTTCTGCTGGAGACCACTTTGGGCGACGTTGTCATCGACTTGTACACAGAGGAGCGGCCGCGAGGTGAGACCCGCGCCCCTCTCAGCCTGGGCCGCGCCGCTAACCCTCTTCCTCCCGGCGCAGCTCTCCGCGGCGTTGGGTGGAGCCTCCGATGCCCGCCAAGGGGCTGTTCCTAATGGGCTGTGGTTAGGAAAGTTTTTGTGCGATTTCGTTCGAGAGCTGCCCTTCTCTCCTATCTTGCGTTGCCCAGTCGGGTGAAGGGCGCTGCACTCATTAATTGCTTTTGGGGTGTGTGAGTGATGGGCGATGCATATTGCAATACCAATGGCTTTGGCGGCTTTGCTGTGCTGTGTTTACTTGTGGGGACCACATCAAATGATACTCCGTACGTAATCAATTAAGTCTTGAAAGCTGGTAAGATGTGCATGACTCAGCGGGCTTGGACATCGGATTCTGCCTGGCTGGAGGAAGGAGGTGTCCGCAGGTGTGGACAGACCCTGCAGGGGTCTGGTTTTCCACTGTAGAGAGAGGTCGAGGAGGGAGCCCGTTTTAGCTTTGTACGTTTTATAGTGCAAAATTGTGTGTGTTGCTATGGAAACAAGAGGAGGGCGTAGGGAGAAGGGAAGCAACCAGGCTGTAGAACGTTTGAACTAGCTCTTTCAGAGCTGACTAGGGAACGAGGGTTTTCTTAGCAGTTTGCTTGGGATGTTTTAGAAACAGCAAGTGGTGTGGCTGGAGGGAATGGTACGTGATGAGTAAGGTCCTGAATAGTCTTCTGTGCGCTGCACATGACCAGTCTTTGAAGGTTTTAAAAGCAGAATTGAGGCATGGGGTTGCTTTGGGAAGATGGTAGCAGCAGGCAGAGAATGTATCAGTTGAAGGAAGCGGAGAGATTAGTTACAGTAAGGGTCCTGCCCCTATGGAAAGGAGCTCGTCAGAGAGGATGAAACAAGCTGTACAGTACAAGAAGTGGCATCTATTCCCCACTTCCCCAAAGCACTTCATATTCTCCCATAATCCTTGCCATTCCTTGCTAGTCTCTGCCCCACATTCCTTTACATTCTTGTCCTTCTGACCAACTTCCTATATATTTGGGTCTCAGATCAAGCATGATCTCCGCTGTGCAGTGCTCTCCTGTAGAGTTCGATCTGCTCTCAGGTTAAATCACATGACACTTATTTTATTATAAAATTTACCTTTTGTGCTGACTTCCAAGTCTTGTCTCCTCTCAAGAATGTGCTCCCATGAGAGCAGGAAGTACCTGAATTATCTCTGTATCTTGAGTGTTGAACACGTCTGTCACTTTAAGGGCACAAACTGGAGGTTCATATAGTTACTGATGGACCGAAAGGTATTGTAGTAGGATTCTGTGCAAGTGATAGAGACCCATCTCAAACTGACTTAAGTAAAATAATTACCTTGTGTTATTGGGGTAAACTTGGCTTTCTGAATAAGCTGAATTTGGGGGTTTAAAGAATGTTTTAGGGAACTGTATTCTTTTTCTTTTGGTTTTGCTTTCCTTTGAGCTCTTTGACATACTCTCCCTGTAGAGCAGCATCTTCAACAATGAATGGACTTCCTGGCCCAGAGTTGTGAAATGCTAAAGGAGAGGTAGGGTTTATCTCACCTAATACACAGTGATTTTACAGTTAGCCTGGACCACCAAAAACTTAAATCTACTATATGTGTACATATTTGTAAGCATATGATTAGAAACTGCTTACATTTTTACGTACTTATCAATGAATAGTAACGTATCTAGACTTATTAGCCTTTCCTTTTTACTTTTTATTGTAGAAAATTAAAAGTATACCGGGGTAGAGAAAATCATGTACTGTAATTAAGTTTCATGTACCCATGATCATCTTCATTTAATGGTTTCAACAATGGTTGTCAACATAGAGCTAGGCAGGCTGCCTGCCTCTTTCCCTCCTTCTCTCCTTTCCTTCCCTTTTTTCCCCTTCATGTCTTTCTTCCTTTCTTCTTCGTTTTCTCTCTCCCTCTGTCCCTCCTTATGCTTGTGCTGGGAATTGAACCCAGGCTCTCTCAGGCATGCTAGGTAACTAGGTAGGCACCCTACCACTGAGTTGTGCTGGGAATTGAACCCAGGCTCTCTCAGGCATGCTAGGTAACTAGGTAGGCACCCTACCACTGAGTTGCATCCGTTACTCCCGGTTTCATTTATAATACCTTCACCACTACTGGATTTATTTAATGTGAAATTATTATGTAGTTATAAAAAATAATGACTTTTAAAAAACAGAAGCACGTGTCAGTATTACATCTTAGAAAATTAACAATAATTCCCTAATATTATTCTTTCCTGTTACCTCATAAACACTTAAAAGTTGATAATTTAAATTAGGATCTCATCAAGATCTATATAGTAGTGGATATATCTCATATATATATATGTTTTTTTTTTTTCCGGTACTGGGAATCGAACCCATGACCTCATGCTTGCCAGGCAGGCGCTGTGCCGCTGAGCTAAATCCCCAGCCCCTATTTTTTTGTTTTCTAAGACAGGGTCTTGCTATGTAGTTCGAGCTGATGTTGAACCACTGTGTACCCCTGGTTGGCTTTGAACTTGTGGCAATCTTCCTGCCTCAGCTTCCCAAGTGCTGGGATTACAGGGGTATGCCACCATTCCTGGCACTTAGATTTTTTTTCTTTGAACTGGGAATTGAACTCAGGACCTTGTGCTTGCTGGGCAGGTGCCATACCACTGAGCTATATCCCCCACCCACTTAAATATTTTTTTATACCCTCTCCCGCTTTTTTTTCCTTAACATTTTTTTGAGAAAGAACCCCGGTCTTTGTCTTACAGAATTTCTCTGGTTTCGGATTTAGTTTTTTTTTGGTTTTTGTTTTTCAACAGGGTTTCATTAAGTAGTTCAGACTGGCATTGAAGTCACTGTGTATCCCAGGCTGATTTTGAACTCATGGTGATCCTCCCGCCTCAGCCTCCCAAGTGCTGGCATTCCAGGCACCGTGCCTGGCTGGCTAATTATTTCCTTCTTATGTCTTTTAACATATTCCTTCATCGCTTCCATTTCCTAAAATTTGCTTAGATTTAAAGTTTTGGATAGGATCAGGTTCAGTGTTTGAGGCAAGAATAGGTAGGGTGCTTTTGTGATTGAGTCACATTCAGGAGATATTTGATGTCTGGGTGGTTGTTTTTGTCATGTTACAGTTGGTCGGTGGGTTCAGGCCTTGTCTGCTCTAGAAGTGCTTCCATCAGCTTTCCATCCACAGATTTTGGCAGTCATTGACGATCACTGCCTAGGCCCATTATTTTTGGTTTCTTGTAAAAGGGCTACTCCTGTTTGACAGTGAGCTCAGAAAGATACTCAAGAAAGATAATTGAAAGCTGGATATTCAAGACTTCACAATAACTTGGCTCCCATCTCTATACCCTTTTCACTATTGCTCTGTGATACCAAAATATTACAGAAAGACTGGTCTTTTGGACATCCCTTCCCTCAAAACACATTTAAATTCTCACTTCCAGTTTTTTTCATAACAAATTCCCAACATGAAATCACTTTTTGCTCTTTGCCTGTCCAGTTCTTAACATATATACTTATTTTTAAATGACACATAGAATAGTACATATTTATGTGAACTATGTGATAATTTGATACAATCCAGTTCTTTTAGGGCTGGGGATTTAGCTCAGCGGCACAGTACCTGCTTGGCAAGTGCAAGGTTGTGAGTTCAGTTCCTGGTACCGGAAATCGCGCCCCCCCCCGAAAAAAAAAAATCCAGTTCTTTTAATGTGTACTGTAGACTTCTATGAGGTCTCCTAATTTCCTCAGCTAGAAACATTCTTTTGAACTCTTGTGGCACTTCAAAAACTGCTTTTTACCATTTTACCATTTCAGTGGCATAAATGATATCATCAGATATGTGTAGTGTTATAACTGTTTATGTGCAATTGTAAGTAACCTAGGTTAATAAAAGCTCCTTGAAGGCAAGACTGCCTCATGTCTACTGTTTGGTTTCTGACTTAGCGCCTTAGGGCTTGTGTGTCTCTCCATGACTAGCCTGTGAATCAGTAGAGGGCAGGGACCATTGCTTATGGGATTTGTGATGGCAGTGCCAAGCATCTGGAAGGTAAAATGTTTGTGAATTAAGTGTTTGTGAATCAATTTATATGAGAAGACTATTTACTGTAAATACAGATTTTTCTGTGCATTGTGGTACATACCTGTAATCTTAGCACTCGGGGAGGCTGAGGCAAGAGAATCAAAATTTCACATCGTGTCTGGGTAAGTTAGTAACTCAGAGATCTCAAAATAAAAAATAATAAAAGGCTGGGGTGTAACTCAGTGCTTGAAAGGCCTTGGGTTTGATCCCTAGGAACCTCCCCACATGGATTTTTATGATGTACTCGTTAATCACTGTAAAGAAAAAGTCTCTAGACATTTGATTTTTCTCTAATTTATATAATGTGTAACTATTTTCATATATTCTGCTACATCTTTTCTCCTCATAGGGCCCTCTTTGTGAGTTTTTCTCTTAATAAACCCAAGCCATCAAATGATTGCTTATCTCATGAGGATAAATACCAATTTCCTGCATTAACTCAGATGCCCAAAAAGTCCTAAGAGAAAGAAAATAAACAGATAATTTAAAATGCTGCCTTTTTAAAGGCGTATTCCCTGTTTTTATTATATTTATTTATTTTTTTGAGACAGGGTCTTACTCTGTAGTTCAGGCTGGCCTTGAACTTGTGGTAATCCTCCTGCCTTAGTCCCCCCCACCCAAGTGCTGGGATTACAGGCGTGTGCCACTGCGCCTGGCTTCATTCCTTGTTTTTAAGAGCTTTGTATATTTGACTATTTTTTGCTTTTTAAACTTTTTTTAATCATACATTTGTCATTTATTCTTTTCTAAAGTTAAAAAAATCCAAACACGCTCTATTTCCATGACTCTAGCTTATGAACATACTGGTACACTGACTACACATACCATAACATAATCACAGAAGTCAAAGCAGTGGGTACTCAAGGACACACCGAACAGAGCGCCGGCTGAGCAAGAGCTCCCACGCAGCCAGCCCCTTTCCCACCGCGGAGGCACTGCTTCTTTTAATAATTTAGAGATTACATTATACTAACTGTGCTTTTGCTTTTTTAAAATTAAATTTGTGGATTGCTATGGTAAATTTGGTGTTTACTTTCTTTCAGCTTGCCTGAATTTCCTGAAGTTGTGCAAAATAAAATATTATAATTATTGCCTTATTCACAATGTACAGGTGAGTTGGTAGATATTAATCATATCCTTTATTTTTAGACCCATCTACCAAATTCAATGAATTAATAAAGAATCTTATATATTATAGAGGGATTTTATCATACAAACTGGTGATCCTACGGGTACTGGCCGTGGAGGAGAGTCAGTTTTTGGGTAAGTTCTTTTATTTTTAATTGAAAAAAAATAGAACTCTTTATTGTTTATCATTTTAAAATATATTTCAACTGTAGCGTTTTTCCCGTTTCCTGAATGTTTCTATCAAAAATGAAGTATTTTGCATCATAGTAATATTTCTATAAATAGTTGCTGACATTGTATGTTAGACCATTTTGTTTTGAGAGTAGCAGTGTTTTATGACCTTACTGTATTTTCAGTCAACTGTATGGAGATCAGGCAAGCTTTTTTGAGGCGGAGAAGGTGCCAAGAATTAAGCACAAGAAGAAAGGCACTGTGTCCATGGTGAACAATGGCAGTGATCAGCATGGATCTCAGGTTAGAAAATGGGTGTTCAGTGTGCTTTGCGTGTAAGTGAAGGACTGGAAGGAGCCTACAAAGTACCTTTTTAATCATTTAGTAATGAAAGAATGTAGTCAAAGATATTTTTAGGAGAAAAAAATTACGCTTTTTTTTCTGTATTTAAAAGCATTGTAAGGCCGAGAGTATAGATCAGTTGTAGAACGTGTGCTTTAGTGTGTGTGAGGCCCTAGCTTCAATGCCCAGCACTGTAAAACAAACAAAACACATTATTTTCTCATACATAGAAGCCAAGCCTGTTGTGAGGAAACTACAAAATACAGAAAAGGACAAAGAAAAATACAATACTAAGTACAAATAGACCACATCTTTTTTATCTACCCCTCCGTTGATGGGCGTGGGGGCTGTTAACACTGACTACAGTCTTATCACTCATGAGTATGAGTAGTCTCATCTGTGGCCTGTTTGCTTTTAGTATTTATTACTTCTTTTAAAATAGATTATATTGAATACCTTTCATTCACTGTGTTGCATACACCTTGTAACAACTCTGTTAGGGTAGATGCTTTTATTTTTTGCTTTTATTTTTTACTCTTTTTGCTTGAGGAAGCTGGGCTATGGCTTGTCCAAGTATTGTAAATAATATCTGTATGTTGATATTTAATATATAAAGTCTGTGTTTTTTTCTTTGAGACAGGGTCTTACTATGTAGTCTAGGCTGACCTCAAACTCACAGCAGTCCTCCTGCCTCAGCCTCCCAAGTGCTGGGATTACATGCATGTGCCACCATGCCCGGCCCTAAGATCTCATTTTATTTATTTCTAGTAACGAGCATGAAAGAATTGGCAAATAAATGTAGAGTCTTGCTTTTGTGTATTTTTTGCCAGGTTATCAGTGATTTTAGTTAGAATTGTATATATTTTTAATATTTACAGTATGATGTGTCTTTTTGTATAGTTTCTTATTACTACAGGAGAAAATCTAGATTACCTTGATGGTGTTCATACAGTGTTTGGTGAAGTGACAGAAGGCATGGACATAATTAAGAAAATTAATGAGACCTTTGTTGACAAGGATTTTGTCCCATATCAAGATATCAGGTGTGGTTACAATGTAATATCTTGCATGCACTAGAATGTCTTAATACTGTGGTTTCTGCTGTGTAGTGGCATGGGTGAGACTGATATGCATAGGACTAGTTTCTGAATAATTCTAAAATGTGAATTAATACAAGATAGTGAGAATCTCTATAAAAAGGTTTTTATACTTGTACTAATTATAATTTCTTATATGGGGAGAAATTATTAATGTTTTAGTTTTTAAAATGCAGATTATTGAGAAATTGATCAAAAGTACTAAGATTCAGACATTTAGATCTTAAGGTAACGCAAAGTTATAATATTAATAAAAAATGTAATACTTGTTGTGAAAGTATACTGTAGATTAGTAATATCTATGTGCAAGTCACTGTTTTTTTGGCATTAGGGACACTGTCTTAGTTACTTTTCTCATTGCTGAGACAAAATACCCTACACTGAAGGTTAAAGGAAGAGAGGTTTACTTAGCTCATAGTTTGTAAAGCCTTCAGTCCACAATGGCTGGCTCTAAGGTAGGGTAGCTAGCAGAGGGGCAACTGTTTATGGCGGTGGAAGATACCAAAAGCAACAAGAGAGGAGGGGAGAGCAAGCCTCTTTTCCTCCCTTATATTGTATGCAGGCTGCCAGCCCTAGGATGGGTGTAGCATTCATACCCTTATCCCAGCTCTGGACCATGAATCAGTCACAAACTAGATTCAGATGCCTCAGAAAAGCTTGCCTCCCATGAAACATGAGGCTTTAGGGGGACACCTAGACACAAACCATAACAGACACTTCATTTTTATAACATAGAAAGATAAAATATGGATTCTGACATAAATACAACATTTGACTTGGATTTGTTTTATAAGGATAAATCATACAGTGATTTTAGATGATCCATTTGATGACCCTCCTGATTTATTAATTCCTGATCGATCACCAGAACCCACAAGAGAACAATTAGATGTAAGTAAAGTCTTCTTCTAATTGAGTGTACATGTACATTAATAACTAGTAGTGATTTAGCTTATAGTTACTAAAACTTACATAATAGAGATTATCTTGCTTGATCAATTAAACAAGTTTTATCACCTAATCACCTAACTTTAGGTAAGTAAATAGCTTTAAAACCAAATTAAACTATCATCTTGTGAGAGAACTTTTCAACTGAGGATACTTTGGAGTCAGGCTAGAACACAGACATTTCTGTGGAGAAACACGGACTGTTTCTCTAGCTATTTTAATCTATCAATTTCTGCGTGTAAGACTTTCTCACAGCTGAATTTATGGTTGAGGTTAGTGCTCACTTTTAAGATCATTAATCTTTTTCCTTCAGTAATAGTTGAATAATAGATAATAGCTAAGTAAATGTTTATTTTGATTTTAGAATAAATCAGAAGTCCAATTTGGCTAGTATATAATTTAAATCAATTTTCAGTGGTTTGTAAGTTTGTTGTAGTTGCTGTTCAAACACATTTGGTTGGACTAAGAATAAACTATGTCTTCCACGTTTCTCAGATTTTTTTTATTCTTTAAATATTTATTATGAGTAAATTCCACCTTACAGAGTGGTCGAATAGGAGCAGATGAAGAAATTGATGACTTCAAAGGAAGATCAGCTGAAGAAGTAGAAGAAATAAAGGCAGAAAAAGAGGCCAAAACTCAAGCTATTCTATTAGAAATGGTATGATAATTTATCTTTGTTCAAATAGTTGTTCTGTAGCATATTTAACACAGTTTAATTATTTTGGGCTTTTGTCTTAAAATAGTAAAAACATAGTGAAGAGCTTTTTTCTGGATTAAATTTTATAGGCATAATAACACAGGTGATTAAACAAATTTGGTGCCAGGTGCCTTTTTTAAAAGTTGGGAGTAGGTATCTAATTCATAAATATTAATTTCAATTGTTAGATATCATATAATTTTTAATGAATATTTATTAGACTGATTTTTAATTTTTTGTCTTTCTGAGACAGTGTCTCAAAATGCAGTTCAAACTGGCCTTGAACTCTTTTTGTAGCCCAGGCTGGCCTTGCATTTACAGTGATCCTCCTGCCTCAGCTTCCTGAGTGTTGGGATTGCAGGTGTGTGCCACCATGCCCAGCTTTAGACTGAATTTTATGTATATTATTGTGCCACTCAAACACTGAGATTAAATGGTAGAATAGGGGTTGGAGATGTAGCTTAGTGATACGTGAGATCAGGCTCGTTCAGGGTGGTATGGCCATAGATAGTTTAATGGTGCTTAGCATGTGCAAGGACCTGGGTTTAATCCTTATCCCCACTAAATAAAAAAAATACATATATATATTGGAATACATATATTCCAAATACATATATTGGAATAATAGTTGAACAGTAAAATAAATCTGGGTAGAAACTGATCACTCTAAAATCTATTTTCTCTATATTACTAATAGTATGAAGTCATTTGGGGAATAATTATTGTGATCTATTTTACAATTTATATTAGCATCACCAGTCTAAATAATAAATACCAAAGGCTATAATTTCAAAAACTTTAGTGAAATAAACAAAAAATTGAAAATGTACATTTTAAGGAGCACACTGTATATCTAAGACTATTAACCTAGAGCAACCAATACCAAGACAAATTTTAAGAAAATTATTAGATTTAGAAGAAAGATCTTTCATACAATAGTCCAAAAGAACAAGAGACTACTAAGAGAAAGATTACTAGATTACCTTTCTCTCAACTGCAGAAGTTTAGGAAGTTATTGCCAGAAGAGAAAATGGATTAGCTGGGCATGGTGGCACATGTCTAAATCCCAGCACTTGAGAGCCAGGAAGATCACCGTGAGTTTGAGGCCAGCCTGGGCTACATAGAGAGACTCTGTCTCAAAACAAAACAGCAAACACACAAAAACAGGATTAATGTTTTTAAAACTTTCTGTTTTTTAGGTAAATTTAAGCTTATGGAAAAATGTGTAAAATTTCTCTATATATTTTACCCAGATTCACCAGTTTTTAATATTTTGGTACACCTCATTTTTTGGTTCTGCTTACACATTCGCGTAAACACACATTTTTTGTGACTGTTTGAAAATATGTTGCCTATCATTTCCCTTTATTTCTTAGTTACTGTGACTCTTAAGGGCAAAAATATCCTATTTATGATAGTTATCAAAATCAGGAAATTCAAATTAGTCTATTAATTTTTCTTCTTTTTTGTTTTTTCTGTGTAGTTCAGGCTGGTTTTGAACTCACTGTGTAGCCCAGACTGGCGTAGAACTTACAGTGCTCCTCCTGCCTCATCTTCCTGAGTGTTGGGATTACTAAATGGCTCATGAAATACAGTTTTTTCACAGTGAAAGCAATACCATCATCTTTCTTTCTCTTCCTTCTCTGGTTCTGCAGTGGAAAGCACTGTGCTCTATTTAGTGCAGTAGTTGACTTGTGAAGTTGACTTCATTTTGGTTAAAGTAGGCCAGAAGTTGAGAATTTAAGAAAAAAAAGGTAGAAACACTGTTCTGGAATTGGCCCTGGTCTTCTTCTATAGCCCAGGCTGGCCTCGAACTCATGGAGATCCTCCTGCCTCTGCTTCCTGAGTGCTAGGATTACAAGCGTGTGCCACCACACCCAGCAGATGTTACATATTGAACAATAATGTGGAATGACTTGGGCATTACAAATCATAGAAAGATAGATTCAGTATGATATTTTTCAAAAGTTCAAAAATAAGCAAAGCTAAACAAGTTGTTTAGGAATGTGTATATACATAAAATTCTAAAGATATGTAAGAGAATAGCTCCAAAACAAAGTAAAAAAGCTGGATATTTATAATCTCTGGTGAGGGAGGCCGAGAGGTAGTGGGATCAAGGACTATACTAGTTCTTGTGTTAGGTAGGTGGTTTTTATCATAGGTGGTTTTTATTTTTCTGTTTCATTAATTTAGATATACTTTACATAAATTCTTCTTTTAAAAAAAATATAAAATACTTGTAGAAAAGAAAAAAAGTAATTAAAATTGGGTCTTTGAAGACTTAGCTGGGTTCAAATCCCACCTCAGGTGTACTCTTTACCCATGGGCAAGTTATTTCCTTCCTCCTTTTGAATGTCATGTTTTTTAAATATGCAATTTGCAGCGTGTTTTAAGAACTAGCAGTGATGGGGCTGGACACCAGGACACAGGCCTTTAATGCCCACACTCTCAGAAGCTGAGGCAGAAGGGTCACAAGTTTAAGCCCCCCTTGGGCAACTCAGTGCCTTAGGAAGACGTTGTCTCAAAATGAAAAAATAGGAAAAGGACTGGGGATGTCGTTGAGTGTGAAATCTCTGGATTCAGTTCCTAGTACTGCAAAAAACAAAAAAAGAATTAGCAGCAATGCATTTGGAGTATTCACATATGGTGTTTGCACAAAATATGGATTAGGTAAATATTAGCCACTGATATTGTTAATATCAGGAATGTGTAGTTTTACATTTTCAAATCTTCTTTAGATTTCTTTTCCTGAGCTTGTAGTGGTTTACAATGTAAATTTAGATGCTTTAGGGACATCAGTGTTGAAGGCTTGGATGCAGTATTTAAGATGAAAACTAAATAAAGGGATTGATTTGTATCCTTGCTTATTTATAATTTAGGTGGGAGACCTTCCTGATGCAGATATTAAACCACCAGAAAATGTGCTGTTTGTGTGTAAATTGAATCCTGTGACTACTGATGAGGATCTGGAAATAATATTCTCAAGATTTGGCCCAATAAGAAGGTAATGGCTAGAGGTAGTGAATGAGAAATTTCACAATATCTAGTTATTAGTTGATAGTTTTCTAATGACACTTTTGGTGAGTCTCTGAATTTTGGGTGAATTAAATACTGTTGAATTTTTACAGGCAAGTGTTTGTATAGTAGGGAAGAAAAGTATATGTGTATACACACACACACAGATTAAATATTTGAATGACTCTCCTAGTCCTGACCGAAAGATTTTTACCTTAAAACAAGTAATGAGTGGGGTGATTCAAGTCTAGTTCTGTAATATTCTCAAGAGTATTCTTTAATATTTAAAATATTTGTGTCATTTAATCAACTCCTAAAATTATTAGCAATATGTAAAAATTAAACTTTCCAAAATTTTTCTTTGTTTTTTTTTTCCGGTACAGGGAGTCAAACTCATGACCTTGCGCTTGCCAGGCAGGCACTGTGCTGATGAGCTAAATCTCCAGCCTCTCAAAATTTTTCTTTTGGTTAATTTTCTCTGCATTATTAATTACAGCAAAATTATATGATGCTACTATTTCAGCAAGAAAGAGGGACTGTTTTGTAATGGACAAGAATGTATTATGATAGGATTTTCTTTCAAGTTTTTAAAGTGAGTTGTGTGATTCACAGAGAAAGAGACAAGCTGGTTGCTTTGACCTTCAGCTGACTGGCCCTTTCTCTTGGGTATTGTATGGTAGATAAGTTCTATGTAATAGCCGTACTTACAGGGTTAAATTTAAGTTGTGTTTACTTTAAAATTCCAAAGCATAGACTTATTAATCATTTATATATGTATGAATATACATGTATTATTCTAAAGTGACATATCCTACAATCTGTCTATATTTGGAGTAGAATTATGACTGAAAAAATTTAGCAGCAGTTTATTTTTAATTTAACTTAATTTAATTTTTGTTTTTTTGAGATAGGATTTCACTATGCAGTTTAGGCTGACCTTGAACTCACTATGTTGGCCTCAAACTCATGGTAATCCTCGTTCCTCAGCCTCCCAAGTGCTGGGATTATAGGCATGTACCACCATGCCCGGCTCAGCAAGTTATTTTTATTAAAGGAAAATTAAATATTTTAATTTTATTCTTCCTATAGTGCTTAGGGAATATAGGACTATAGGCCTAGGAAAGGCATTCAGAGTAGAATTCAGATGATTTAATTGTTGGATTGAGGAACTATTTTTTAAAAAGAATTATTATTGAAGAAATTGGAGAAATACAGATCTGTGAGTTTAACTTTGTCATTTAATAACTGACTTATTTTGTCACTCTTTGGTTTTAAAGAGTGACAGTGAATGGCTTTTATTCTAAATCACTTTATAAAACTTTCTTTTAGTTGTGAAGTTATCCGAGATTGGAAAACAGGAGAGTCACTCTGTTACGCTTTCATTGAATTTGAGAAGGTATGTCATAATCCAGATATTTTAGGTTTGGTGTTTTTGGCTGTTAAAATTAATTATTTTTGTGTGTGTGTGACTCCAGGACCTCGTATTAGGCAAGTACTCTATCACTGAGCTATAGCCCCAGCTCTCTTTTTATTTTTGATTTTGAGTTGGCCTCACTAAGTTGCCTAGGCTGGTCAGCCTTGAACTTGACCATCTTCTTGCTACCTCAGCCTCCCAAGTAGTGGGACTGCAGGCATGTGCCACTATGCATTCACTTATTTATTCATTCATTCAGTGCCGGTGATTGACCTCAGAGCCTTTACACTGAACTACATCCCCAGCTCTTTTCATTTAATTAATTAATTAATTAATTAATTAATTTAGTCTTTTTGAGCCAGAGTCTTACTATGGAGTTCAGCTCCTTGAGCTTACTTTGTAGCCCAGGCTGGTCTCAAACTCACAATGATCCTCCTGCCTCAGCCTCCCAAATGCTGGGATTACAGGTGTGCACTACCATGCCTGGCTATTTTTTGTATTTTTTGAGACAGGGTCTCACTATGTAGTTCAGCTTGGCCTTGAACTCACTGTGTAGCTCAGGTTGGCCTCAAACTCATGGCGATCCTCCTGCCTCAGCCTTCCAAGTACTGGCATTACAAGTATGCGCCACTGCACCCATGTGATATCCCCAGCTCTTTTTATATTTATTTATTTATTTATTTTTATTTATTTTTTGAGGCAAGGTCTCACCCTGTAGTCCAGGTTTGCCTTGAATGTACTATGTAGCCTAGGCTCACCTGGAACTCAGTGATCCTCTTGCCTCAGCCTTCTGAGTGCTGGGATTACAGGCCACCATGTCCAGCTTTTTAAATGTAGAGGTGGGGTTTTGCTGTGTTGCTAAATTTTGCCTTTTGAAGTTGCCAGGGCAGGCCTTGAACTTGTGATCTTCATGCTTCAGCCGCCTGAGTAGCTGGCATTATAAGCATGTGCCATTGTACCTATTTTGTTTTTATATAATAATAATCATGAAAAATTATAGAACTCTGTAGTTTCTAGGATTACATTTTCTTTAGGCACCCAAGATAGTAAACTTTCTTTTATTCACATAGGGAGTAAATTTAACCTCTATTATTTTTTTTTCTGTTGTTGTTTTTTTTAGATAGGGTCTAACTATGTAGTGCAGGCTGGCCTTTGTGCCACGTTCCCATCCTGTTGATTTTAATGTATGTACCTTTACTGTAGGTTCAAGTGTGGTCTGCCTGATGTTACCTTTAGAACTTTACAAGTTTTAGGCAAAGTCCTTCATGATGATCTTTCATTGTTACTAAATTTAACTACATTATTTGGCCACATTTCCATGGTTGGTAGTTTTTTGTTTGTTTGTTTGTTTGGTCTTTTTGAGACAGGGTGTCACTGTGCAGTTCAGGCTGGCCTTAAGCTCACTTTGTAGCCCAGGCTGCTCTTGAACTTGCAGCGATCCTCCTGCCTCAGCCTCCTGAGTGGTGGGATTACAGATGTGCACCACCATGCCTGGCTTCTGGTAGTTTCTTTTCTTTTTTTTTTTTTTGGTAGTTTTTTTGTAAGTGTTTTGAATCTGTATTTTTTGTATGTTAGGCAAGTTCTGTGTGCTTTGGGCAATTTGATCCAAAGTTTTTAAAAAATTGAATTAAATACATATAGAATATGTACAAATCATAAGTGAACAGCTTGATGAATTATTACGAAGCTAACACACTTAAATTACCACTTAAGACGTAAAACACTTAGCAAAAAAAATTCCTAGCATCCTGAAAGACCTCCCATATCTCTTTCCAGTAATTTCCTTGTCACTTCTAACATCATTTGATTTTTTATATAAATGAGAACACTTACTTTGTGTCTAGATTCTTTTGCTAGTGTTGCATTTGTAACATAAGTATTACTGCACCTAGCTTTGTTGACTTTAATTTTCACTGACATACAATTTTTCATTGTACACAAAAGTTTATATTTTCCTTCTGCTGTTGATAGATACTTGAGTTCTTTCTGATTTTTGTCTGTTATGAATTTTGCAACTACAAACTGTTGATTTATATACTATGTTTTTAGTTATTTTTAATTTTTAAAGTAAATGTTCCATAAATATTTCTTTGGTGTATATATGTGTTTCTGTGGGATACAGATCTAGGAGTGCATTGTCGGGTCACAGGTAAGTATAACATTAGTAGATAACCAGTTTTCCGGGGTAGTTATATTAATTTTCACTTTATCAGTTCATGGCCGTCTATGTTTTTCCACATCTTGACCATCTCTTGATATTGGTCAGTCTTTTTAATTTGATCCATTCTGGTAGAAGTGTGATAGTATCTTATTGTGGTTTATTTCACTTTTCCCTGGTTGCATACCTTTCCTTATGTTCATTACCATTTTGATACCCCTTTTTGAGTTTTTTGTTTGTGTTTTGAGACAGTGTCTTGCTATGTAGCCCAGACTGGCCTCAAACTCAAGTTCCTGCCTCAGCCTCCTGACTGCTGGGATTACAGGAATGTGCCACAACACCTGGCTGGCTGTCCTTTTTAAGTGAAGTACCTACTTCAGACTTGCCTATTTTTCAATTTGGTAATCTGCCTTTTTGTTGATTTGTGAGAATTCTTGTATTTTTGGAGCAGTAGCTCTTTTTTGCAAGTGTCCTCTGTTCATTAGATTATCTTTTTTCTTTCCTAATGCTGTCTTTTAATAAATATAAATTTCTAATTTTAATTTAGTTCAGTTGGTCATTATTTTTCTTCCTTTTTCATGGCCCCTTTTAAAAAAAAATCTTTACCTAGCTCTGTCTCTCTGTCTCTCTGTCTCTCTGTCTCTCTCTGTCTCTCTCTCTCTCTGTCTCTCTTTGTCTTTCTCTCTCTGCTTTTGCTGTCTTCTACCACCATGAATTGTTACCCCTCTGCCATTTACTACCCTGTCTTGGAGCCAGCTAATTATGGACTGAAATCTCTACAAACTGAGCTAAATAGACCTTTCCTTCCTTAAAAAAAAAATCTATATTCTGCTCTTAAAAAAAAAAATCTTTGCCTACTCTAAAGTCACAAAGATATTTTCTATTTTTAGAAGCTTTGTTAGATTATTCCCAATTTGAACCTGTCATTTGATTTTATGAATTACATTAAGTTGCATTTATCTTGTACTGGATAGCTAAGAGACCTGGTGTCATTTATTGAAAAGGTTGTCCTGTTCACACAGGCTCTATGGGGCTATAAATCAAGCATCCACGTATGTGGAGTCTGTTTGTGGTTGTTCTGCTATTTCACTGGTCAGTTTTTGTTTGCTTTTGTTCCACTGTTCCTTATGTTAATCACTGCATTATAATGTCTTCATATCTTGTAGTGTGAGTCCTTCAACTTTATTGTTCTTAAAGATTGTATTGGTTATTTTGGGGGTTTGCATTTGCATGTATATTTTTGAGTGACTTTATCAATTTTGAAGAGATTTTTAAACTACTAAATATAGGTACTTTTTTGCAAATACTATAGTGAAAAAAATGATCTGACAACTTTCTTTTTGGGGAAATGGCATAGTGATAGAATTATACTTGTCCAAGTATAATCAAATTCATCAACTGTAACACTGATTGCCTACCATGTGCCAGATAATATTCTTAACGATGTGGATGAATAAAACTTGGTCTGTGTCTTCATGGAAGTAATAATCCATTGACTTTATTAACCAATGTGTATTAATTCTTGACACACATGGATAAATAAATACGATTTTAATGAGTTCTTGTATCCAGTTCTCTTGGAGTTGCCTGTAGTACATTGTCAGCAGACAAAATGATAAATATCTAGGAATAAAGAAGAAATTTGATTAGTGCCACATTGAAATATGTTACTCTGGTCTTCAGATTTCAAAAACAGGCTTAGAATTTGTGAAGTACTGATAGGAATGGTTCTTGTGTAGCACAGCTGTAGGTACCACAGGCCCACAATGCATTATCTAAAATTTTAGGGAATTGCTGTGCTTCTGAACTTAAAATTTTTCAGGCCAGGTATGGTGGCGCATGCCTGTGAGCTCAACACTTAGGAGGCTGAGGCTGGAGAATCACCATGAATTTGAGGCCAGCCTGGGCAACAAAGTGATTTCAAAGTCAACCTGAACTATAGAGTGAGACCCTGTCTCAAAAAACAAACAAACCAACAAACAAATAAAATGAATTTAGAATTTTTCATAATTAAGAAAGGTACACCATTTATATGGACACACACACATTACATCTGTGGATTATGTAGCACCCTTCTAGGCCAGCATTCTATAATGAATCACAATATTTTACAGTGAAAAAAATGGATATTCATATCAAGTGAATCTTAAAAAAGGCCATAGACTCCTGTAGGTCATATGTTACTGCCAAATTGCTGGGAGTTTTTGTTCTTGTTTTGTTTTGGTGCTAAGATTTCATGTGTTTATGCCTTTGCTCTACCACTGACCTACAGCCTTGGCCTCTTTTATTTTTAATACCAAATTTATGAAAACAGCTTTTACTTTTTAGGATACAGTAATTTTGGGCTGTGAATAAAAGAGATCATAGGTTTGTACCGTGTAACAGTTGTTTAAGTGAGTGTATTTCCACTATAGTCAGATAGCCTCAGTTCACAGTCCTGGCTTTAACCCATGCTGTGTGACCTTCGGCAACTTCTATACCTCATTTAACTTCTGTTTCTCACGGAGAAAGTGGGGCTAAGAATAGACTACCTCATAGGGTTGTTACTGGAGTTAATTGCGATCACACAAAGCATTTGAGAATATCTGATGTGTGATAAGTACTCAGTTATTTTAGTAACAACAGACTGTGTGTTCTGTATTTGTCCTAGCTACAGAAATCTTTTCCATAAATATTTAAGTTTTTGTCATTATTATCAGGAAGAAGATTGTGAGAAAGCATTCTTCAAAATGGACAATGTACTCATAGATGACAGGAGAATCCATGTGGATTTTAGCCAGTCTGTTGCAAAGGTTAAGTGGAAAGGAAAAGGTATGTTGGTTCATCTCTTTTATTTCTGTTTCGTGCATGTGCTACATCCCCAGCCCGTACAAGATAATTTTTGAGTGAATTTCTTCATATTTTTCTGAAATAAAATGCCACCTAGGTGAGAGTGATGCTTTGATTTTGTGTGTGTCATCACAAACATTATTTATTTTTAATCTTAGTTAATCCTGAGATATTATGTCTATTTAATATATATAATTGTTTCACATTGGAAATAATGGATATACTATATGCCATTCACAGTGCTGAGTACTTTTCCTTACAGTGTTGATTTCAACAGTTCTGTGAAATGTTGGTGCTATTTTTAGTTTATAAATGAAAAGGCCATAAATTAGTGTCTGATTTGGGACCGCCCACTTAAGATTTGAATTCAGAACCTCTCACTTTAATTCATTACTTTCTTTAATAATGTAACTGCCTCAGTCAGGTATAGTGGTGCATGGCTATAAGAGCAGCACTTAGGAGGGTGAGCAGGAAGATCGCTCGATGCCATCCTGGGCTACAAAGTGAGTTCAAGGACAGCCTGAACTCCATAGTGAAACCTTGTGTCCAAAAAACGAGAAAAAAAAAAAATTCCCCAAAACCTGCCTCCTCTATAGTGAGACTCCTAATGGCAGGCACATGGCAAATCATTCATCAAACAATGTCAGTTTCTTACTGTTTCCAGTTATCTTAACTTTTGCAATAGTCTGTTTCATATTCCATGAAACATTGTCTGCTTGCCATTTTTATTTTCAGAGTCTCTAGAATTGCTAAGTACATTCACTTTGTCTTTGACACTGTACTGTTGACATTTAATTTATTTGAAAATTTGGTGTTATGGTAGTCATCCTCTTTTTTTCATTCTTGTTTGTATCTTCCTTAAGTCTCTGATAATCAGAGACTGTTGAATTCATAACCCACATCTTTTTCCTTGTGCGTGGACTCTCAGACCTTTCCATAGGAAGCCTTCCCAGAAGAAGCACTAGGAAGTGGTAGTTGAGGGGATAGGAAGGCAGCCTGGCAGCCGGGCTGGGACATGTGTGGAAATAGTCCTCCTCTGGTTAGGAGATGGAGCTGAAGGGTAGAGAAGCTGCATGCATGCTCTTCCTTTATGGCCCTGCTCCTGGAGGCCAGCCAGGATGTAATGGTAGCTTTCTGTTCTTAAAAGGATTGTTCCTTTTTGGCACTTGAGAGGAATAAAGGTGTCTGTAAGCCTGCATTTCAAAGTTGGACATTTTTCTTTGGTGTTCTCACCAACCTCTCATGTTACCTTTAGCGAACTTCTCTACATTCTGTTGTTTCCTGCCTGCCCGTCCTCTGTTGAGAAACAGGTCAGGGGTCCTCAGAGCCTCACTTCTTAACTTAGGTCTTTCAGATTCCAAACTTAGGTCCCTAATCTTCAGTTTTTCACTGGACTTAATATTCTCTTGGACTTAGGGGCTGTGCTTATACACTGTACTATTGACATTTAATTGATTTGAAAATTCGATGTTGTAATATTTACATATATCGTTAGGTGGCAGCATATGGCTACCTAGCAAAGTGGATATCTGATTTCAGTCCAAATAATAGTGGAGATTGAATTACTATGATTCTTTTGTTCTCTTGCCCTTTTTCTTTCTTGTAATATATCCTTTTTAAAAACAGCTTATATCTTTTATAAAATAGTTATTGTTCTTGATTAATTAGGTGAGTTTTCTTACTAAACTCTTTTTCTTAATGAATAGGTGGGAAATACACCAAGAGTGATTTCAAGGAGTATGAAAAGGAACAGGAAAAACCATCTAACTTGGTTCTGAAAGATAAAGTAAAGCCCAAACAGGAGTATCCTTAACAAGAGTCTGTCAATGTGTGTTGACCATCTACTGTGATCTGTAGAGTACTGTGTGTTTCAAAAAGTCATGAAGCTATTGAAAACAAAGCTCTTGAATCCAGATCATTTGTGAAGAAGTAATTTATTATTATTGCTTTTCCATGTCATATATACACTTTGTTTTTTCATTCTATCCTATATTATGGAGAACGTTAGATTTGAAAGAAATCTTTAGCCTAAATCTTTTACCCTTCTACTCATAGGTTAAGTACCTTCCTACCTACCATATGCCTACATCTTCAGGTAAGATTTTTGTTTTCTGTATATATAATTATAATGTTTTAAATTCCTCATTATCAAATATTTCCTTATCCTAACCATTCTCTTATGTTTAACTCCTTTACCTAGATAACAAATTCCTGAAATTCTTTGTTATTAGATTAGCTTGCTTCTTTCTGTGTAGTATATTGTCATTTTACCAGAAATATTTATTTAGCTTCTGGTGAGTTGCAAGAGTTCACTTTTAGAGGGTTACAAAGAAAACCACTTAATTCAGGTTCTTTCAAGTTTTAGGTTGAGACAAGTAAAAAGCAGTGAAACATACTGTTCATATTATGTCATTTTAATTTGTTCACTGATTTTTTTCGCATTATAAATCTGTCACTCCACACCTTGCAAAGGTTATGTCTTCTGTGGTTGTTTCAGGTAAATGGTGTCTTTGTTTCCTAGTTTCTGTTGGGGCTTTCAGGTTTCTCCGTTCCTATGCTATATACACATTTCCTTTCCAAATACTCATCAAGGAGAGATGAATATCTGGTTGACCTTTATATATTCATGTTTTAAAATGTGTCAATTATCTGCAACGCATAAAGCATTGTGAACGATTAAAGCTACGTAGAATCCGAAGGTTGCTGGCAGTATGGACATAAGGAGAAGCTTTCACAGGCAGATGGACCAACAAGCAAGGGTTTGGTCTGAAAAGAGCAGCACTAGAGGGTTTCAGAATGAAAGCTCAGAATCATAAAAAGTAGGAACATATACTTGAGATTTATTTATAAATTTCGGTTAACGACTCATAATTACAGCTAGAAGAAGGGAAGAATGAAGGACAAATATAAGGAGATGTAGTTGTAGAGCATTAGGCAGAAGGAGGTATCTTTTTCTCGATGGAGCAGTTCAGCCTGAAATGTTTTAAATTTGTAACATTAAAATGCTTTAAATTCAAGAAGATAGACTGCTAAGATTTAGGACAAAAAACTAAGCATATTTGTGAACAAATCTCTACTACTGTTCAGTAGAACTTTCTTTAGTGATGAAAATGTGTATTTCCATTGTCCATGGTGTTATCTACACGTGACAGATGGAGCATAGACTGAGTAACTGAAATATTTTTTTGTTGCTGCTGGGAGTCAAAACCAGGGCCTCCTACATACTAGGCAAGCCTTGCACCACTGAGATGCATCCCTGTACCAGTAAATGACTTTTAAATTTTGTTTAACTGTAATTCTCTCTCTCTCTTTTTTTTTTTTTAACTAGTGGTATTGAATCTAGGCCTTTGAGCATGCTAGGCAAGCACTTTACCATTGAGCTACAGCCCTAGTCCTACATTTTTTTAATTTTAGTGTTTTATTTTATTCACAATTTAAGCCAACATAGATATTCAAGCTAATTTTTAAAATGGAGGTGTTCCAATAAAAACTAAAAATGGACACTGGATTTTGAATTCTGTGTAATTTTCACATGAAACATTTTTTTGATTTTTTAAAACATTTTTTAAAATTTACTTTTCACTGGTGTATTTTGTATACATAATGATAACATTCATCATAGGGAATTTGTACCTGTACGTGATATATCTTGCTGCTTCATTTTTCCCATTTCCTTTTCCTCCCTTCAAGCCCGCTTCCCCTCTTTATTTACAAAAGCTTTGTTTCTATTTTTTTCCTTCTTTTTTTTTTTTTTGTCTATTCTTTTCTGGTCCCCCTGCCCTTATTCCCTTCTCATTTGAGCATTTTCTTCCCATTTCTCAGTATCTGTAATACATTTTGGTCCTTATTTACACTTTCAGTTTCTCACATCAGAGAAATAATGTGGTATTTAAACATTGTGTCCAGTTTATTTCACTTAAGAGTATAGTCTTAAGGTACATCCATTTAGCTAGAGATATTTCAAGCTTATCCTTCTTTATGGCAGAGTAATACTCCATTGTATTAAAAAAAAACCCACATCTTTTTTATCCATGGACCATTGATGGACATTTGGGCTGTTTCCAACATTTAGGTATTACAAACTGTGCTGCTGTGTTTGAATGGGTGTTCATGTGTCACTGTGGTATGATGCTTTCAGTTTTTCAGAAAGATACCAAGAAGAGGAATAGCTGGGTCAAATAGAGCCTCTAGTCCTAGTTTTTTGAGAAATCTCCACACTGATTTCTACAGTGGTTGCACCAGTCTACGCTCCCACCAACAGTGGGGAAGGGTCTTTTTCCTCACAGCCTCTCTGGTGTATATTATTTTTTGATTTCTTGATAAGAGCTCTTCTTCCTGGAGTGAAATGGAATCTCAGCGTTGTTTTAATTTGCATCTCTCGAATGACCAGTCATGTTGAACATTTTTTCATATATTTATTGCAGTTTCTATTTCTTCATCTGAGAAGTGTCTATTCATTTCAGATGCCATTTTTGGATTGGGTCTTTAAGTTTGGGGGTCTGAATTTTTTGAGTTCTTTATGTATTCTAGGTATTAGTCTTTACTTGGGAGAACAGCTGGCAAACATTTTTTCCCATACTGTGGGTTGTCTGTTCACCCTGTTGATGGTTTCTTCTGCTGCACAAAAAGCTTTTTAATAAGATGAGATCCCAGTTGTTGATTTTTTGTGATAGTTCCTGTGCAGTTAGGGTTTTGTTCATAAGTCTTTGCCTACACCAATGTCTTCAAGAGTTATACCTATTCTGTCTGCCACGATTTAATGTTTCTATTTTAATATTTAGGTCTTTGATCAATTTCAATTTTAGTTTAGTGCATGGTGGAAGACATGGATCTAGTTTTAATCTTTGGCACGTGGAATGCCAGTCTTTTGGGTTTTTTTTTTTTGGTATAGGGAATCAAACTTAGGACCTGTGTTTGCCAGGCAGGCACTGTGCCAGTGAACTAACTATATGCCTGGCCCAGAAAGCCAGTTTTTCCAGCACCATTTTTTAAAGAGACTATCTTTCTTCCAGTGAATGTGTTTGGCCCCTTGGTCAAACACAAGGTGGTTGAGCATATTTGGAGTTGTTTCTGGATCTTCTAATCTGTTCCATTGATCCTCAGGTCTTTTTTTTTTTTTTTTTTTTTGATAGTATGGTGGTGCTTTTAATCACAGTAGCTTGTAATATAATTTCAAATCAGGAATTGAGATGCTCCTTGCCTTGGCTTTGTTGCTCAGAATTGCTTGTTTTTTTTTTTTTTGAGACAGGTTCTAACTGTGTAACATAGGCTGGCCTTCAGCTCACTTCTGTAGCTCAGGCTGGTGTTGAACATATATCAGTCCTCCTGCCTCAGCCTTTCAGGTGCTGGGATTACAGGTGTGTGCCACTATACCCAGCTCAGAATTGCTTTTGCTGTTCTAGGTCTCTTCTGGTTCCAAGTGAATTTTAGGATTGTTTTCTCTAATTCTGTGA